AGTTTCGTCGGAACGAAGTTACGGAAAAATCAATTAACAAACGGAGACGTAACACACCTTAAAAATGCTGAGACAACCACATGGGAAAAATTCTGAACTTTCGGTTGGCTATAAACACGTAATTGAGCGAAATGGGTGTACTTACACAAGTATTTCCAAAAAAAATGGAAGAGGTGGGCGGCCACTGTGTTGGATTCGCTAAATATAATAATATCCCAGTAAATAGAAAATATAATTCGTAAGAAACTATAGGTTCTGTATTTGGATATAATAAAGTCTAATTCAAACCAAAACTGAATTTAACATCTCTCGTGACACACAAAAATCGATATCTAGCAACTGTGTTTTAATAGTTATTTTTAGATTAAGGAATTAACTAATGTATAATGCTCAAAGTTGAATTATGATCTATACTTTGATGCCAAACTTATTGACATACATTCATAAGATAGTAGTTCAATAAAATTTTGAATGTAAGTCTCGAAACGTGATGACATGCCCTCTGACCCCTACCCGTAGCGATAGGGTTAAGCTGATATTAAATTATCAATATAGAAATCTTCAGGGGTCACGAAATTTCCAAGGAAATAATTTCTTATAAAGAGAATAACTGCAAGTGGGAACCTTATAGTAAGAGTCGGAGACCTGCACATATTCAGCTCACTGAATCCTATTGCTCTAGTGCCAGTTGCTCAGCAGATTCTAGTGCAAATAAAATAGCTCAGGGTCTAAATAATGATGTTGCAAATTTTGTGACAAAATATTGGATGCACAGCCTCATGATAGCCCTGCCCAAATTAATCAAGACAATCTTCACCCCTCAACTACCACCAATGTTAGAAATTTTGAAGAGTAAATGCTAGAACCACAGTCTGATAATGATGTTAATGATGATAATCCTGTTGAAATGAAGGAAGATGACCCTCAACTTTCATCACAGGATGATGATCCAAATATTTATCATAATGATCCAGCATTGTTCTACAGGAAAAGCCTGGATCATAGGAAAGCAGTAGTATTCTTTAAAAAGGTGTTTGTCAACCTGAACATGATTATGATTATCCTGAAACTAATGGAAGAGGCTTTAACTGGAAAGTGTGCCATCGAGTTCCATCAAAATACCAGATGATAGTTCAGCAAATAATTGTGGCATAAAGGAACAGAGAAAGTCCTCCATCATATTTGATGGCACTGTAGATTAAGGCATGAAATATGTCAGTATACTATCAGTGCGATATCTGAAAATATAAAAAAACGAGTATGGTTTGTCTAAGACTATGGAAAGACTTGTTTAATTTGCAGAAAATTCGACGAAAACAAATCTTCAAAAAGCAGTTCTTCGAAATAATAGTTAATCGAATGTCCAGTTTTCAGATCCATTTTTATTTATAAATTAATGTATAAAATATAAAAAGCTTATAACTTACCTTTCGATGAACTTTCGAGATGAAATGAACCGATATTATTTAATATATAAGGATAGACATACATATGTCAAAAATGAGATATTTATTCAGAATGGAGAATAATATTCAATCATGATATTACAATTGCACTTTTATCAGACCATTAAAAATATTTAAAAAACGCCAATATTATTTAATTATTTTAATTATGTAATAATTAATAAGTTATGCTATGTGCAATACCCTGCAAGTAATTATTCATATCATTTGTTGGTTGAAATGCACTGACAAGTCTTTTTAATATCTCTGCACTGTCACGTTATTTTTTCCGACCAATTGAAGGTTCCTGACCACTCAATATGTAGCTCGTTCAGACTTTGTTCCCTCTTTATCGCAGAAATGAACTTCCATATATTTGGATGATTTGCAGAAACTTATTGCGTAAAGCCGTGGTGCCATCCTTCTATAGACTTGTTAGTTTTGGCAAGTCCTGCTGCACGCTTTCGTAGCAGTTCCACATCTCAAGCTAAAGTATAGGAGGTCAGAGTCGTTGTTATCGATCACGACGTCCAATTCAAGTATCCTCAAAATAATCAACCTCAGGTTTAGCTTCGGGTGAAAAAATGTTTTCATCAATAATAAAGTTGAACATCTCTGCAACGTGATCTGTAGGAATAAATGTTAGTGCAGAGAGCATGCGAATCTTTAAACTGAAGTCTGCATCTGTGTCGTATCTTTGCTTGAAGCCATTTTCTCTAATTGTACAATAAATACACTGACAAAAATGGAAAAAGCACCCACGATTAACTGCACGTGGAAATTCAATGTTAATTGCATTTATCATTGCAAGTTCAAAATCTGTTAGTATAGAGACGGGATTTAAGGCAAGTACTAACTCTTTTAATAGGGTTTTTGTCAATACAACAGGAACATGTAGAAAGAAAATAAGTCATGATAACGAGGAACCCACTTGAAGTAGATATATGTAGTAGTGACGGCTGATATAGGTATTAAAACTTTTACTTCAAAACACAAAACAAATAATGTTGTTACTTGTTTTGTGTTTTAGAATGAAAAATTTTAATACCCATATAGGCTGTCTCTACTATATATAAACATAAATAAAGTGTTTTCTTGGAGGGAGAGAAACCCTAGTGGCATTTTTATAGATGAAAGAGGGTGCATGTGCTAACGCTAGTTTTGTGCCACTTGGACCAATCGCTGTCCTCCACGAATGTTTGGAAATAATTTCTGAACGTTTAGGCTATACTTGACATGTTTCAATTTCAGTAACTTCTTACTCTTAGACTGTCGAGAAAGCGTTTTTGAAGAAACTTTAGAAAACTGTGAGTTTGTAAATTTAAGATAGTTAAGTGATTATAGTATCATTGTGAAATTAGTAATATTACTAATATTTTATTTTTAAACATGAAATTTGTGTTTTAAAGCTTTATATTTAACAATATGAATTTATTGTCAAGACAGAATCCCGATTCTAATTTGTATTCTATGATTTCATTTTTATGTGTTTCATTTTCTCTTAACTTTTAGGGCAAGTAAAATAAAACATTGTATTAATTTAGTATTATAAGTTGCAACTTGGCTATACAGCAAAGAGAGTTGTCGAATTTAAAAGCTCACAATTTACAATCCTTTATTCTGGTCCAAACATTAGGCCTTAACCGTTAACGTTACTAAGAAAGTCTTATTATTCTGCTTTACAATAAAGACTCAAGACCATTAACGACAAACCAGGAACAAAACTGTGGACAAGCACACTACATAGACCTATCCTGGTAACCATGGCAAAGGTTGTTACACTTACAGGTACGTTTAACTAACCTTTTTAAATACAGAATCAGGAAACTTAAGAACCTTGAAAATTAGTTAAACTGTTTATGCATTTTTCATGAAGTGAACCAAAATGCTATCTTAACCTTGAGTTGTTAATTAGATATTTTCATTTTCAAATCACCTTAATTTTTAAATTTTATTGTGTTTTTTTATGTAGAGTTAAATTTGTTCTTAAATAATTTTATTGGTGATTCGTTTTGTACTATTTTTGATTATTTTAAAACTTGTTTGGGTATGTTAAAGTGCTTTGTTTAACTTAAAATTTAAATAATATGTTTTGGCTGCTTGTTTTTGTAGATTGTACATGTATGGTTAGAAGTTAAGACTTCAATCTAAAATATAATTGTCAGGGTTAGTGAACATAGCATATTCTGTAGAAGATCAAAACTAGACTGTTGAAGGTACTTGTTCCTTGAGAGAGATTCAAAATGTTGGTATTTTGCCTAGTAATGTAAGTGTTCTTATTAGTATACAAATTTATCAATTTCTGTAGTTATTTAAGGAAATTACAGATTTTAGGGAATACATAAAACAAATATACAGTAAATGCTTTTAAAATTATGAGATCATTTTGTTTAACAGTATGGTTTGAATTTAATGTGTAAATGGGTTTTTCCTCTCTCTCTCTTATAATGAGGGAGATTACATCTCTTGATACCCTCAATTATGATAGGTTTTTCTAATGGTAATCTTAGAATTCATAAGCCGACTTCATAGAACAGGCCACTTCAACCATTATCCTGGCATGGCATGGTGTGGTGAAATGTTACATCATTCCTGAATGAGTAAATTACTAGTAGGTATTTCAGATTAAAATAATTAAAATTTAGTTGTAAAATAAAGTATACAGGGATTTATTTAAATAAACCAAAAAGTTTAAGAAAACTGATTTAAATGCACTTCCTATTAGCTATTCACACTATTATGTGAATAATACAACATTATTAAATTGTCAATCATTGCCTTCTGTTAACTTGTTCATATAGTATTTAGTGTAGTATTTGTTTTTTTTGTTTTTTTTCAGTTGTTGTGGTATCTTGCTGCCTGGTAGCTGTTACAAGTGCACTTTATGGAAGTAATAGTGATGTTATAGACCTAACATCATCTAACTTCAACACTAAAGTAATTGACAGTGAGGATGTATGGATTGTGGAATTTTTTGCACCATGGTGAGTAGGTGATGTGTATTGTAGAACGATATTTCTTATGGTAGCTTGTTTTGCTATAGTAAGCGTCCCTTCGGAAATGCTACTTACCTCTGTGTCACTAAGAGATAATACCTTGCACATAACTGCTGTAAAAAAATTTTGTGCATGCCACAAGCCTATCATGTAATCATGATAATGCTTTAACCTCCATCAATAGGAGAGTGACAACTTCCATGTATGGTAATCCCCATGATTACTAGCACATGAACATAGGCTCATTCTTTCCTCATCACTGCCTGGGTTCAGATGTATTTTTCCTGTACTCTTTGAGTTTCTAGTCACTTTGATATACTACCTTTCTTTATTTAGTGCTATATTACTTGTGTCCTCATTCTATTTTTATTCCATCCACCTATTTTCAACTTCATTTTCTATAGTCACTACATTACTTTTTATGCTATTTTCAACAACATATGACAAAAAAATAAATAAGATAAAAGGTATCCCAATGTCCGAGATGTTCCTTTTCAGACATTTTCTCCAACTTGCTCATTGACAACTGGATGCACCTTTTCTGTTCATGTAACAGATGTTTGGCTGCTAAACTTTTAGCCAACATGTAGAGCACACATGTGTGAAGGGTCTCAAATTTCATTCTGTGGTAAGGTACTATGAATGTTGTAAATAACTTAAGTTACTGTAATCTTAGGGAGTTGTGTTGAATGGTGGTGCAGCAGTAAATTAACTAATGATGTTCATGCTACCATGCATATTCATAGAATAATTATTGGTAAAAAACAGTTAGATTAACAACTTATAATATATAAAAAAGCCAGTGTGTTTCGGTAACACTACTTTCCAAAAATGGCAACATAAGTATAACCTAATATTGTTGTTAGTCTATGTACTGAAAACATAAATTGAAATGTATAGACAACAAAGCTGGAAAAATACTTCTTGATTTCTTAACTTAAAGTTTCCATTGGTTAAAGAGGTTTTTTTTAAATTAAAAACTTTGGTGATATAGCAGAAAATAGTTTAATTCAGAATCGATTTAAGTTTAAGACTGAATCAATATTTTTACCTTCATGATAAATTTTATGCACTTGGCTCTAGGCTAGGTGATTCCACACTACTTTAGGCTTATTATACCAACACTCACTACACTTGTAAGGTTTAATTGCACACACCCTCATGACCCCCCTTCCACCATTGTCACTAAAATTATAATGGGCAGACAGTAATTGAACAATTCTATCTGGATAAATGCATTTTGGCTATTATGACTCCTCTTGTTTCGAGAAATCAAGCATGATGTGATGTGACACATAGTGACTTTTATATACGTTAGATGAGGAACCAACCACCACATTCCTTATGCTTGGTGCCATTGAATCTCAGATTGTCCAGCATTGTCTCACAAGGAATATTTACCCAAAATAAACATTGTGCAGGGTATAATGGACAGTGTTACACTCGTCCATCCCTGTTCAGTGCCCACCTTGGCAGTATATCTATGCAATTGGCATAGCAGTTTCAACATCTTTTACAAAAAAAAGACAGCACCAGCTGTAGTCCTGCTCTTATGCCTGGTTTGTCTTTAGTCATGGTAACTCATTGCACTGTCTTTTGGTGGGGATCCAATTCCAGATGATTATGCCTGTTGAGAGTAATCCAAGCACATTCTTCTGTGTTCTCCCGAACACATTATCTTCCCCCACTGTTCTTCTAGTAAGCACAGGATAACCCTTGCTTCTCCAGTCCTACACTGCTGGGGATGTCAATATAGAGAATTTTCTCTGCAAGAAGTGTTAGATGTTTTCTCCTTACTAAGAGACTAATTTGACCCATTCCTCATTTGAGATGCAAGGCTGGGTGTTACCTGGAAATGTATTACAGGACATTCCATTATAATATCTTTCATCAGTTCCTGATGGATTTGCCTGAGGATACAGGTTAGGGCTCCTCCTTCTTCCATCTGTTATTGCAGTTTCTATCTCTTGTAATTATTTCATCAAGATGGAACAGCCTAAAGTCCTAGCCACAATACACTTCTAATGTTCTACCCACCCTGGTGACATATTACCACCAGCATTGATTTTTTTTTATACTCTATCTGTAATGGAAATTTTCAATAGTTAAATCAGTAAAGATTAGGGGGAAGAGAATTTTGTCTTCAATTCTAGCAAGTTACTATACTATTCATCCTAGATATAAAGAGCCATCTCATCCCCTGTATTCTGATAAATAATTTCTAACCTGGAATCTTAAAATAATTATAAATATTTTCCAAATACAGCATGCTTCAGTAATTCCCATTTTTGATAGATAGGTTTTAATTATTTTTTTTTCATAAGATGTACATATTTTCTACTTTCATGTAGATATAAATGTATCCCAATCAAAACAACCACCTAATTATTATAAATAATAATTTTGACTCTGTTTCACTTGAATACTTTAGAATCAATATTTTTTATTTTGTGACATTCATGTAATGTATCTTGCAAAGCAAAATGATAAAAATGTTCCAACTTACATTATGTTCAGCTGTGAAGAGTCACACCTGTAAATAACATACTAGTAGGTTTGATTTCTTTTTTTTTAATTTTTTCTTACCATCCCATAACATCAGTTTATATTTACTAAGAAACTATCATCTCTTGAATACGACAAATTATTCTCTTCCTATGAATAATTTTCCCATTCTAGAAATTTCATGACAAAAAAAATTGTTGTATTACACAGTATAGTCATTGTCATCATGTCAAAAACTTACAAAGTTGCACATAAAAAAGCATGATTAGTTAGACAACAATGTAGTTTTTGTAGGCCTAATGTAAATTATATTTGGAAGAGAGGGAAGATTTGAAGTGTTGAGTGATATAATTCTTATATATTTGAGACAATGTTCTATTGAAAATGGTAGCTAACAGATTTTTGGGTTGTATATTTATTAATATTGTTTTCAAGACTTAGGAATCTATGGTTTCATTGGATAAGTCACTAGTTAGACCTCTAAGTATTCTGTGTAGTTTTGGTACTGTTGTCATAGGAAGGACATTGAATTGTTGGAGAAGATTCAGAGAAAGGCTAGTAGGATAATTCTGAGGATAGATGGGATGTCATATAAGGCTAAGATTTCAGTATATGTGTTTGTGCATTATATAATTGAAGTACAAGTATTCAAAATTAAGGGAATTGATAAGATTATATCAGATTTTTCTTCTTGGATTCTGAGAGTAGTAGGACAAGATTTCATAAATTTAAGACTTGGAAAGTACAGGCATAGCTCTAGTTGAGGGTTTTTTTACTTCTCCATTAGGGTGGTAAATCTGTGGAATAAATTAGGATCTGGAGTGGTTACAACTTAACATGAGTTTAAGAAAAGGGATGATGAATATTTTAAAGATAAAGGCTGGATTTAGTGAATAGTTTTTCTGTTTGTTGATTGAAATGTCGAGAGAAAGGACATCCTTGATGAGTCAAAAAGCTTTTGATATATAACTTAATGTTTACATTATGTTGGTGTTTCTTAAAGCATGGTTGTTAATATTTGTAAATCTCCAGTAGTATACAAGTGCATTTAATTGATATCAAAAATATGTATATTGTTTTATGATTTTATTATATTAAGACAAATCAAAGTATTCTATATTTTGAAAAAAATAGTTGATGCTAGTACATGTTGATTAATATGCAATGTATCTACAGTCATCATGATTCTGAATACAATAAGCATATGAAGAAATGTTAGTTTTATGTCTGAAAGCTTCATTATGAAGTGTTTTTTTTTCTATTGTCACTGAAAAAATATCTAAGGTATTGCTGTTAACTTTATGTGCATAGGTGTGGGATCAAAGAGCACATGCCATAACCCTTTTACTGAATGTCATTCAACATGGTATTATGTACTTGACGTTTGTTATCAACCATTCATTTTACCATACACTGCAAACTTAATTACAGTTA